GAAACTCAAATCATTTAAAAATTTCGTTCATACCTTTTTGACACTAAGAACGAGAAACGCTTTATATTTTAATTTTAATTCCAGTATTTTAAAACAAAAATCAAATATCCAATCGTTTCTTGTTTTTTAATACCCGTTTGGAAAATGAAAATCCAATGACCAAAAGATACACTGAACGTTAATGTACAGAACAGTTTGTCACTAAACCCACAGAAAACATGCAGGATTTGATGACGAGGTTTTATTTTCTGCAGCTCCATCCTTTTTACAATTTAACTGAAGACATATTTGAAAACCACAGAAATATACAGTATTTTATAGCTTTTTTCTTTTACACACAAATTCTCTTAGATAGAATAACTCTCCACTGTAGTTTTTCTGAATGCCCACAGTAATACAATCAGTTCAAGCATCAATCATGACTATGAAGATAATTCTGTTTGCAGATTAGCCCACTCCTCTGTGCAGCATTGAGTCTCAGACACACTGACTGATTTCTGTTTTTTTTAAGAGCCTCATGTGCCCCACGTGCTGATTGAGAACGGAGACATGACGCAGGAGGAGTACGACGAGTTTCTTCACAGCCGCAATGATTTCATCAAAGCCACAAAGAAAGATTCCAGCAACCAGAGGAAGGTGAGCTGCAGCTGCCTCAGGGAGGGCCACAGAACCACACCAAACATGAAGAAAGTCAAGTCTGCTTTTAATCCGCACCAAACAAGTGGGCCAAAACACTTTCCTGGTGTGAATACAGTGATTTAATATGAAGCACTGAACTCATTAGCTAACATTAGCATAAAAYTAGCTCCGCTTCCAAAACACAGCATGAAGCAATTATTTATTGAAAACATGATTTATGAGGCTTCAACTTGACGAACAAGTTAACTTTCTGAAACTCACCCACCTGCAGAGGACATAATCACGGCTGCAGCGTGTTAGCGGTTCAGGTGATCAGATTACTGGCGCTGTCCTGCCATGGCAGGACCAAGCCTGCATTTTACTTTCTGTGGTTGGTGTATGGTCAAATGTAGCCAACATTTACACGTTTAATTCTTGTATTTTTAGCCTCTTCAACGTGATCATCTTTGTGTTTCGCCATTATTATTTCTCTTTGATTGTGTTCTGGCACTGCAGCTCTCTGGTTAGCAGTCCGGTGCTTCACCTTCAGTAGTAAACAAAGCATCCACAGAAACGATTCTACCTCCAGCAATTTGTGTATTTCATTGCAGATACAAATCAATCAATTTGTCAATCAATCAATCAATCAATCAATCAATCAATCAATAACCTTTATTTAGCCAGGTAGAAAACCAATTGAAATCAGGATCTCTTTTACAAGAGTGACCTGGTCAAGTGGTCCACACGACACGTTACAGAGTATATCAGAGTTTAAATTTACATTGTGCTTTATGTACAACAATTCAAAACACAAATACCCATATTTTTCGGACTATAAGCCACACCCCCCACCCCCCATCAGTAAAAACAAAAACAAAACAGTACACCCAAAATTGTGGTCAAAAAAGTGAATTCAACATCACATTTATTTTTAAGAAAAAGGTTGGCAAGTTCACCGGTACAAAATAAAATAACAACAACAACAACAACAACAATAATAATAATAAACTCTCGGAAAAAAC